TAATATATAAGTTCAGTACCTAAAAGATTAACATCTCGTCGGTGCTGAGACTCAAAGAAAATACAGAGATATTTATATATGTTGAATAAATAATAAAATAAATTAAACTAAATATATCGAAGGAAATAAAGTTGCCATATCAATAAAATTGCCAGATCTGCAGGTAACTAAATGAACATCTATGATTTACGTAATTATCAAAGGTAATAAAATTGACATCTAAAGATTTGCATAATTGATCGATAGCAATAAAATGGACAAAATGATCTTTATAAAAGATCTACATGGCAATAAAATTGATTTCCTATTCTACTAATTAAAACCTATTTAAAATTTTACACGTCACAATGATTAAATGCATTTTGTTAATTTTTGATCTATTCAAATATTTGGTTTTTCTTTAATAAAGTATTAATAGGTTTTGCAATTTGCGAGAAGTCTTTAATAAATTTTTTATAATATAAAAATAATCCTAAGGCTGATCGAATCTGAGATACATCTTTTGGTATAGGTAAGTCTTTTACATTTTCAATTTTAGCAGAATCTGGTTGAATACTATTTCTTCCAATTATATGTTCTAGAAACATTAAATTAGGCATACAGAAACTACATTTCTTTAACTTAATCTTTAAACTAGCTTCTCTTAATACTTGAAAAACTTTTTTAATATGATAAATGTATTGTTTAAAGGATTTTGAGTAAATTATGATATCGTCTAAATATACTAAGATAAATTTAGCTGCATAAGGTTATAGAATATAATTTATGAGTCTTTTAAAGGTTCCTAATGTATTACATAGCCTAAAAGGCATTATGTTAAATTTATATAATCTAAAATTAGTAATAAAAGCAGTCTTTTCTTTGTCCTTTTCTTCCATTTCAACTTGCCAGTAACCACTAGCTAAGTTTAATGTAGTGAACCAATTTACTGTTCTAAACGATTTTAACATATCATCGATTCTGGATAAAGGGTAAGCATCTTTTTTTGTGACTGCATTCAATTTTCTATAATCAATGCATATCCTTTTATCTCCAGTTTTCTTTGCTACAATTACAACTGGTGAGGCTTATGGACTCCTTGATTTTCTAACAATACCTTTCTTTTTCATATCTTCAATTTCTTGATGCAGAAATTGTTAGTTATCTGGACTGCCTCTATATGCCATTTGTGCAATTGGTGTGTCTTTTTCTAAGATTATTGAGTATTTGATAATGGTAGTTCCATTTGGCTTTCAGCATATAAATCACTATTTCTTTAAGAATTTGTTGAAAATTATTCTGTTAATGAGTGTTTAATAGTTCAACTTGTAGTTTAGGTTTTTCTTGCTCTTCTTTTGGTAAATCAGCTAAATATATGTTTGGTATTTACTTCTATGCATTTTTGTACAAATTTCTTCTAAGATTCTGTCTGCATATTTGGTATGAGTAGGGGTTATTTCTCCTTGTTCTACTATATCTGCATATTCTTCAAAGCAAAATAGCTATCATTTTTCTTGCTTTTCTGATTCAGTTTGTTCAAAAATTCAACTTGGTATAATTCTAGTAATATATACATTGCAATCATAAAAGTCATCATTAAAGAAATATTCTACATCTTTAGACTTAATTCTGATGCCTGTTTTCTCATACGTTTCCTTTAATACTGCTTAAAGTGATATTTTATTAGATTCTACCTTTCTACCTGGCATTTATCACATTTTATACATTTTTTTTTGCAAATTTATTCTTTGTGATATCATAATATCTTAGTGGTCATATATAATATTCATTACATATTTTAGTTAGGCATTATTTTTAACTTCACTTAAGAATATATCATATTCATCTAAGTCTTCTTCCTCATATTCATTTTAGATTTGATTTAAGTTTTTCCTCTCATCTACCATTTCTTCTTCAAAGAGAATGTTAAATGTAACTCTTTTAGTAACATATGAAATAGAAGTAGTTTATGTACTAAAATCAAGATTAATTTTAGTTTTTCTGCACTAATCTATTCCTAATAATAATGTATCCTATGGGAATTCAATCACTTAAAGTTTTACTAAAACTAATATGTGTTGTATGATTATTCTTGCTTCAGTAATTTGTCCTAAAGCTCTTACATGACTTTCATTTACTGTAGTCATAATTAATTTAGAGGGTTTATCAATATTAAGTTCTAACTTTTTGGCTAATTTATTGATGATAATACTGATAGCTGCTCCTGTATCAATTATAGCTTCAATAGGATTATTTTTAATCCTGATATATGCTTTACAAGAAGTTTTTTTCTTTTCACATTTATCATCTACAAATTCTAAGGAATTGATACTAGGTGTTAATACAAGATGACGTCTTAAAATATTTGTTAAATTCCTTTTTGAGCTGATATTTATAACCACTGTTCTAAAGTTATATAGAATTGTTTTAATAGAATATCATTAGCTATATTATATAATGCAAGATTATTAACTATAGAAGGGTTTCGTATTCTTTTAACTGGTTTCATTTAGGAGTGGATTTTACTTCCATTTTAATTGGGTTAATAATACGAGTCCTAAGATTCATTTCTTTATCTGACTCAAAGATTCTGGTCATTTTTCTTTGTCATATTCTTGCATTCTTTTTGTCAGTAATATATAGTCGAGACCTTTCTCCTGCATATATTTCAGATGTTTTCTCTTTTCCTTCATCATCAGTAAAAACCTCAATTAGGTTAGTATCTCTTTGCTTTGATTTGGAAGGTCTTTCAGATAAACATTCTCTAAAATAATGGCTTTTTTCCTTGTATCACTAACAAATTACTTGATTTTTGTCAAAAGGTTTCCTATTATTATTATTTATTATGACATTTGTATTTTTAAGTGAAACATTTGTAATCCTTAGGGTTTCATTTTACGTTACTAATACATTAACAATATTTGTATAGTTGAGAAAAGTTATTCCATTTGTTTTGTTAAAGCTTTAATTACATCATTTTTTGTAGCTTATGGAGATTTTCTCATATAATATATTTCAGCTTTAGTTGCTCTGACTTTATTGACAGCTGTTCTTAGATTACCAGGATCTGCCATTGTAACTCTTGCTACAATGTTAGGTTTTAGTTCATTTAAAAATAGTCTAATTTTGTAGTTATCTAGTAAATGATCGCCTGGGTCAACTAATTTTTTAAGGTTGTTAAATCTAGTGCTATAAGTTTTACGCTTTCATTTATTATTTGTTTAATATTAGATAACTTATAATACCATTTATTCTTTTGTCTGGCTGTAGTAAAGCAAGCTCTGAACATAAAAATAAAGCTTGTATTAGGATACCCTTGCATATTCTAGTAACAAAAAGTTATTACTATATTATTATATTATAATGCTGCTAGTTCTCTTAGATATTTTGCAACAATACTGTGTTTTCTTTCAGCTGTCCAATTATTACTGATGCAACTGTTTCAAAATGTTTAAACCATTCCTCTAGGTCTTTACTATCATTTTTTCAAAATGGTTGTATTAGTATAATATTAGTTTCTCTTAGAAATATTTGTAGTCAAGCATTCCTAATTTCTTTAGAAATTCCTTTAAAAAAGTCACTCATTTGTCTAATAATTGCTGCAATACCATTATTGTCTAATGTTTCATTATCCTTAAGTCTATAATCTTTACCTTCACCTCTTTATTCATCTCTAGAGCTATTACGATATCCTTGATTAGGTGGTTTTAATCTGCCTTGTTGATTATTACTTTTATCTTCTTCTGTCATAATGTCAATTGGTATCAGAGTAAGACTTATTACTAAAGGTGCTATTAAATCAAATTGGGTTTTAACTGATTCTTTAAAGAAGTTCAATTCACTTGCCACTTTTATTACACTTGAAGTTATGAATTCTGAATTTAGTCTAAGTACTTTAGGGTTGATAAAAGTTAAGCTATATAATAATTTTTTAACTAAAATTTGCAGTGGTTTTCGATATGCTGTTGTAGTTATATCAAGTTGCAGTTGTTTAAGTAAGATTAAAGTGGCAAGTTTTTCTGATAGTTGGTCAAATAATAATATAGTTTTTTCAGTAAATATGATTATTCCAAATTTTGCGCTAATCCAATTCCAAAAATTCCTAAAATTTCTAGGGATATCTTCTAGTATTGAGTGACAACTTAAACAGATATAGTCAGTTAATAAAGTCATTTATTTTTTGTTATATTGTTTGATATGTGCTTCTTGAAGTTTGTAATATAAATTCAAATTCATTCACAATTTTATTTTCAGAAGTCTTTCTCCTGGCAGGAATCACTAAACTGTTAGACTTGAAATCGTCTTAAAACTAAACTAACAAAACTAAGAAACTTAATATCACAATTATCTCAAAAACTTTTTCTTTAAGAGAAATTAACAATATACAAACAAACAATTTATTATCACAATTTACTTATGTAGTAGGTTATCATAATCAATCCTATGATGAAGATAAAAAGAAGGTTGAAAGTGTAAAATAGTAATTTTATTAAACTGTAGAGTTATAAGTCTAATCTCAAGACTTATTTAGAAAACTATCTGATCAAATTCTGTTTACTCAAGATTAACTTACAGGTCTATTTATATAAAATTGTTAACTAATACTATACTACACTCTTCAATAAGTACATATAATGAAAATAATATAAGTAATGAAATTAGACTATATAATATTTATATTAAAAGGTAAACTATTTGATACATGTATTATAAAGTTGATCAAACAATATATGTATTATATGTTTAATATGTATGATATTTGGCATAGTTGAAGATCATCTTAAATACAGTATAAACTGCAGCTAACATCGTTATGATCATAATCTTATATATGAAATCATTGATGGAAATCATTCTAAAATTACTCAAGATATTCTATGCTAATTTAATGAAAATATGTTGAGATCCTGAGTCATCAAAATGACCTTCAATAAAAGAAATTAAGATACATTTGATTAATACTTACTTTATAAATTAGTTTATAACAACAATTTTTATATGAATGATGCAATTAAATGATCTGAAATAAAAAAGTTAGAATTAATACAATCAATAAAACTTAAACCCCATAAAAGGTTATTTAATCAAAATTAAAATGAGTTGTATAATCTCCTAATGTATTTAATTTATTTTTGCTTTTATATTTATAAATATATTTTTATCAATTTTCCATATTTCTATAAGTTGTGCTAAAGGATGTTGATATATTGTTATTTTAGAATAGCATTGTATTTTACCATCAATCATATTTATAATAATACAAGGTATTAAAATTAATGATTCAGAAATATTTTTAATTTGATAATTAATATCTTCTTTTGTAAATTTTGTAATAACTGATTTTATTTTAAAATTTTCTTCAAAATTAATATCTTCCTAATTAATTTCATCATTATTTATTTTTAATAAAACTTGAGCATTTTTAAAAGCTATTTTATCCTAAATAAATGGTAAAATTTCAGCATCATAACTGATACTTTCTGTAGTAAAATTACTAATAGTAATAATAGAACTTAAATTATCATTATCTAAAGATAATATATCTTTATTTTCACTTGGATTAAATTCAAAATCATTTTCATTTATTAAAATATTTTTCCAAATATTATTAGTTTCTATAAAATAAAATTAATATTATATTAATATTAATATTAATAATGATAATATTAAAATTATAATAAAATATCAATTGCAATATATTGATATATTTAAATATAAAAATAATTAATTGTTTTCTTTACCTTGTAAAAAAAGGCATTTTAATTATAAAATTTTTTGATAAATATTTTTTAAAAGAAAGGAAAAAAAACAAAAAAAACCAAGATTGAAAATAAATATTTGAATATTATTATCTTGTGATCTATCAGTCTAAATTAATGATATTTATATCATAATATCTATCATAAAAAGAACTTCATAATAGCATATATTTCATTTAAATCAGATTACTGAATATTAAAATAAAGAAAGTTTTTAAAATTTTTCTTTCTACTATTTCAATTTAGCAATTATTATTATTATTATCTTTATTAAAATAATAGTTTGTTAATTAATTTAATTAATAGAATGTAATGTCTTTAATTATTAAAAAATAGTATCATTATTTTAATTTTAATCTAATCAAAATTAATAGAATGACTTAAGTTAGAATTTATTAAAGAATTATAATGATAATTTTCTAATTATTTAATTAAAAAATAATATCAATACCATTTTAATCAAGAATAATAAAATTACTTACTTATAATAAAATTAAATTTAACATTACTATCACTATTAAAGATGGTCACCGCAATTAAAAAAATAGTGCAATTGAGTTACAACTTATGGTGCAATTAAATTTTCTTATAGCGCAATTAAGTTGCAACTCAATTAAAATTTGAAAATAATTATGGGGACCATCTTTAATTACTATATTATACAAAAAAATTATCTCACTTTCTCACTTTTACCTGAAGATTCTTTAAAACTATTGTTATTATTGTAAAAATAGAATAGAACTTGATATATATGATATATTAAATTATAAGAAATTATATTGTGAGAATATAATATTACCATAGAAGTAAAAGTAATGTTTACAATATTTTCATATAAAAATTGATGAAATGCATTATGATGATCTCTAATTAATAGTAATAGAATTATGTAACACAAAAAATTTCTTGATATTTTAGTATTTTTGCAATATTTCTACCAAAATATATTATAAAACTTTAATAATTAAGAGGTATATATAAATTATTTAGCTCTATAACTTTAATTAATAAGAAAAAGTAGATTTAGAATACTGATTTTGTCATTTACAATTGAATCTAGTTATAACAAACCTGTATATACTGAATTCTTATTATACCAAACTAATAGTTCTAAGAACTGATTTTTTATAGTCATTTACACTGGGTATAATAAATTTTATTAATAAAACTCTGTATACTGAATATTGAACTTATCATAATAATCTATGTATATTTGCTATATATTTATTATAATGAAAGTCATGTGATTAATAATTGATTAAAAATCATATGATCTTTTGATAATCTTTTTTTATCTTATCTCTTTATCTATTTATTTTAAAATGTTGATAAAAAAAACCATTTTTATTATAGCATAAAAATGTGATATTTGTGAAACAAAAGAAAAAAAATCAATCCTTTCTAATATAACCCTTATACAAAAATATAATATTGAAAAATAAACAGTTACTAATATTTTAAATGAAAAGAAATGCTAACTTGAAATTTCAAGAGATCAAGAAAAAATTAAAAAATTTTATGATCCTAAATGGCTTCAACTTGAAAATACACTTAGTCTCTAGGTTGATAATGCATTTAATACAAAATAAGATATTGATGATAATATCTTAAAAATAAAAGCAGATTTTTTTGTTAGACAGTTTTATATAGAAAATTTTTATCAATTAAAGGGATAGTTAACTGGCTTTAAAAAAAGATATGGATTGCATCAATTTCAAAAGCAAGGTAAAGCTTTAAGTGTTCCTTCTGTTGAATTAATAGAAAATAATTACATTACCTTATAACAATTTCTTAAATACTATGATCCTAAAGATATTTGAAATGAAGATGAAACTTGTCTCTTTTGAAAAATAGAACTTCTAGAGTTTTGAAACATGGTTCTATATCTGAGCATAAAAAAGAAAAATCTTGTATCACTATATTTTATGTAACAAATGCAACAGGAACTGAAAAAATGACTTACTTTTATTCACAAATACAAAATCCTCATTTTATAAAAAATCTTAATTACAAAAACCTTCCTGTTTATTACTTTTAGAATAAAAAATCTTGAATGAAAGTTAGTATTTTTAATGAAGATATTCTTAAACTTAATGAAAAAATGAGATGAAAAAGATGTAAGATTGTTCTTTTGTTTGATAATGTACTGGTACATTTTATTTTAAATGAAACTCAAGAAAAATTAGATAGCATTGCGATGAAATTTTTTTCACCAAATACTACTACTATTTTTTAACTATGTGATGCAGGAATCATCCATTTATTTAAATGTCATTATAAATATCTTTTTGTTCAAAATCGAATTAATGCATATAATAATATGCAAGATGGTATTGTAGAAGAGCTTGCTGATTGTAATATCTATAATGCTTTACAAAATTCAGCAGAAGTATGATTTATGGTATCACCTCAAACAATTTTAAACTGCTAGAAAAAAATCGGAATTCTTTTACTAAATAATGAAGATAAAGATGTGTTTGAAAATGATTTTATTTTTGATGAGAATATGTAAGTATTTAATATTAATATTAAATACATTTAAGTAACCGCAGTAAAGTTGAATGGATACATGATAACTTTAAGAAACATAAAAATACATCGTTTTTTTCAAAACTCACGTAAAAAAGAAGTTTTATTTTATTTCGAAGGTTTAATTTATTAATTTCGGAATATTAATGAAAAGCGATCTATTTTGTAAAAGAGACGGATATTTGGAGTATTTTCGAAAAATCTGAAATGAAAATGATAAGAAGATCCAGAGTTATTAAAGAAAGAAATTATAGCTTCGTTAATAGTAAATTTATTATAAAATAATTAAAATAATTTAAATTATACTATAAAATAGCTTAATATAAAAAATTCTTCAATAGTAATTTTTGTTATAGGACCATACATTGTTTTGATTTAATTAGTTGACAGCGCACCCCAATTTTCCACGGTTCGTCTTTCCCACGGCTTATATGGCAAACGTCCAAACAAATAAATAGGGGTTTCACTTAATATATTTATTATTTTGATTTCTAACATTATTTGTAAGTCCATATACTTGGTTAAACAATTAAACGAACCATGGATGAGACAGATAATAACGGAATTCGTAGAAACTTTTATGTGAATTTAAAGATGGGAAAAGAAAGCAAGTATCCTTTTTGAATTACATGTTTTATGTAGGCAAAAACAAAAATTTTCACTCCATATGGCACCACGGGCAGGCTGATGACACCACTCTTTACTCGTCAAATTCCTATAATCACAATTTGGGACGCCTTAGCCCTGCTTTGGACGTACTATATAAGTCGTCCTCCCAAGAAAAAGAAAACACTCCAAGACCAGTTTTCATTTCTGAAAAAGATGCAGGAACTGTTGGTGAAAAAATTATGGAAATGACAGAGATGGTTCTTCTATCTCGCCCAACAATAGTAAACGTCACATGTTCAATATGGAAAAGGATCTCACATGTAGCAAATATTGACACTATTATCTTCTTCCACGATGCTCATATACTAAATAAAAAAAAATATGATGATTAATATACTGCAGATTAAATATTAAAAAAAAAAAAAATCCACAAGATTAATATGATGGCTATCAAACACATCACATCTGCTTGTTTGTATTTGTCATAGGCTTCAAAAAATAGATAGTAGTCGATGATACTAAAAAGTTTCTTATTTTCAATCGTATGTTGATTTTCTTTGGCGTGTCTCGATATTAATAACTAACAAATACTCCTTATCATGTACTTTTATCGTTTTATGAACTATGTATTTTTAAAAATTAAACCAGAGAGAATTTTAAATTAATCTATATTAAAATTTACTTAAAAATAAATAATAAAAATTTATAGATATACGTTGTATTTTTTCTTACTCGTATGTCGGGTTGCCCAATAAATACAAAATCACGTGATATAATACAAAAAACACAAAATGGAAAATTATTTAAGACGCCGGATCACTGCCAAATTATAAAACATTAGGTATTTTTATGTTTATGTTTATTATTATTTTTCTAGCAATCTGATTTGCCGGTTGCCCGGATTGCTGACAAGTACACGGCAACAAATTTGAGATTATATGGGAGGCAAGCTATTAAAATCACGTTACAGATCATATGATTTACTTTGTTCGTAACTCGATTTAATAGCAAACCTCCCATATTGTTTTCTATTGATATGTTCTTATATTAAGATTGTGAGGCTAACCCAAATCCCATTTTTAAAAGTCGAAACCTTTCGTTTTCGATGGGATTTCGACGGGTTTCGATTTCGATGCCTCTGTGTTTTGCACGGAAACCTTATTTTATATGTTAAATTATAAAATATTTAATAAATCAAAATTGCTGACATTATATAAAAGAGAAGCAAAAAAAAAAATTTATTAACTAATTCAATGAATACAACAGATAATTGAGAGATTTACTTTATTTTTTTTTTTATATATAGTTCTTCCAATACACTTAAAAATTTAGTTTCGGACAAACAAATGGCAAAAGTACAAATCTTATGTTTTCCCTCAACCTTAAATTCGTATAAATTTTATGATGAAAAACTTTCAAAATTAGAAATTTTAACAACCAAATCCTTGTAATTCTTCATTTTAACAAAAGGTTGAAGTTTACCAGCCAATCTATCCAAATAATGATGTCTCGAATTTTTAGGATCAAAAAACGTTTCGACTTGATAGGCAAATTGTTCAAGTTATTTTCTTCTACAAATTTTTCAAGAGTTTAAAAGTGTCGATACCATCATAGCAACTGTAGTTTCTAACTAATAAATTCTTTAAACCAACAAGATGCTTGCAATTATCCAAAAATAATTTCAAGTCATTCGGATCAAATGTAAATTTTAAATTTAAGTAATCCAATCTATTTGGTAAGATTTTCAATTTCTTTAAAAGACCTGAATCTGTCCGATTGTAGCTAAAAGGTTCATTTTCAATAGTAAGATACCTTAAGTGATTATTCATGTGAATGATCTTGTTACATAAATGAGCATCCTTTTCATCAAAACATGATAAACTTAAAAATATGATCTTGTCACAATGTTTTATGATGCTCTCTAAAGCCACGTTCCTCGCAGGATCTTCAAGAAATGTTAATTCCAAATATTCCAAATAAGGACCGACCAATTGAATTGATATGGCAATTCCTGGGAACAACCCAACACCTTTTAAAGATCTTAACTTTAATGGAGAAGGATCATTAAGAAGTGGCTGAAAATTTTAAACCTATACAATTCATAAATTGAAGAGATCTAAGTTATTTAAGGGATTTAAAACTATCAAATGAGTTGGTATCTGCAAAATTACAATTTTCAAACTTGATTGAAATTAACGAATTGGACAAATGTTCAATAGAAATTGGTGTTTTGTAAACCTTAAGAGATAAAAGTTGGGATTGTGAATGAATCAAATTTGTTAAACTTTGTCTAGATGAACTAATATTAATTTTGAGGTGTTTGATTGTAGATGATAATGGTAAGGAAGTTAAATAGGGTTGGAATAATCATCAAAAGATGAATTTAATGTAAGCTTTTTAAGGTCAGATATCAACTCTAGATGATCCAAAATTATTTTGGATATAGGTAATAAATGACTGAAACTATAATTTGTTCCCATAGTTAACTTGTTTAAGGAAACTTTCTGATCTATGAATATCTTAACTAATGAAATACAAAGAAATTCTATCACTTTTTCAGCATACAGCGGGTTTTTTTATAATATTTTTCAAGAAAGTTATTTTCTTTGATTTGATTCCTCGAAATGGTCTAGGAATAAAACGATTTTTTACCCAACTGACTATATATACTTCGACTCGTGTTATATTCAATACTTTAATAAATCCTGGATAATTAAATAAACGTCTTTTAAATGTGGGTGAATGAATTATAATTCCAAGTTCCTTTAATTTTTCTTTATCATCTTGACTTAAGTATTTCAAATAAGTATCAAGAAGGTTATAAGAATAACCTCTTGGACATATCACGGAAAAAGGATCCTCCCAAAGTATGGGAATTGTAACCCGACATAAAATTTGATTGACTAAAATGCACGAATGAAGTGATTTTATATCATGTCGTAAATAGTGTATAATCAAATCGGTTATTTCTTCTATTTCACCGGAATATATTTTTAAACATTCCATTTCATTTGAAAAAAGTGAGAGGAAGAGAAATTAAAAGTTTTTTTTATTGATGATTTTCATTTATAATTTTTTTTTTAGTTCTTGAGAAATCATTCCAACAGCTGCGCCATTCCAAAATTCATATAAGTTTGAAGTTAAATACATTGTTTTAACAAAAAATTTTTATTTCCCTCAGATCAATAAAAATATGACCTGAAAAATCTTTTTTTTTTTTTTTTAACTAAGACCGTTAAAACGAACGATTGCAGGATGTTTAGAAAATCGTTTTTGTCATTTTAGTTAGACTTAGTAGATCACCAACGTTAGGTCATTTTTAACACGCGTTTACGTAAAACAAAAATAACTGATTTAAGATATTAAGCAATTATTATGTAAAAATTATAAAGAAAATTTCAACGAAGCCGTAAAACATAAAATCTTTCAAATTTAGCATGATTTTCCTAATAGAAAGGTGATAACGATTTGCGCATCGATCCTTTTTAGGAGATGTTCATCTGCGATTAACTACTACGTAATTATATATATATTTTTATTGCGTCCTTCAAAGTTTATATTATTTTTGCTAAATTCATATCAGTTATAAACTGTAACAGGTGATCCTAACTAACGATAGTGAATAATGAACTAGGGAGGCCTGGGGCATATTCATTCATCTTCACTGCCGTTGTCCAAAACTTTTGGAAGCGAATCAACTTGAAAGATGAACCTAAGGAATGCAATATTTGTAAAAAAAGAAATCATTCAATAATAATAATAATAATAATTTAATAAAAAACAATTGCCTTGCGACCGAACCCGAAAGAAATTACCAAAATATATATATATATATATTGATAAGATAATAAGATATATAAGGAATTATTTTTTTTGCCTTTTTGATAACGTTTATAAAAAATAAAAAAAGTAATAAAATATGTAATGATTTGTAGGATCGTTCTAATTAAACGAACGTCATCATTCTGGAACGATACATCGTTCAAGAAGTACGGTACATCATCGTTCAATAAGAACGATCTTCTATCGACGATATACCATCTTTTAAGAAGAATAGTTCTTCTTGAACAATTATAGTTAATAGACCGATTTTTATAAATTATTAAGACCATAATTCTAGGACCGAAAGTTCCAAATTCTTTAGGACCGCAGTTCTAGGACTGCACTTGCGGGACCTAGTCCTAGTTCCGGTTCTATGACCGGTCATATTCGGGACCACTGGGAATTTCAGGACCGGACTATGAACGACTGAATTTAACATCCCTACTTATTAGTGAGATGAATATCTTTGTAAGATTGCCGGAGAAAAACCTTAATTCTTCATGATTTCGAAACTATAATAAATAAATTTATAAAATTGAAAGTCGAAACTATATACACAATTAATATAACTGTAATTTTACACAAAAATTCTCCTCTCTACGGCACAACTTCCAAAGTAAAAAAAATTGGATGATTGATCGTCGCTTTATCAATGAAAAAAAAATTGCTGAATATTTTTCATCCATAATCAATACTTGTCTCTAATCACCGCATAAGACGAGACGATGTTGACAATGATAATTGCGAAACTTTTCCGCGGTAGCCGCAATTCTTAATTGCTTACCCATGCTTGCGCGTACAATTCCGTGTGCCACTTAATTACTTTGAGTTTCATGAGCTTCTCCAATCGAACAAATATTTATTTTTTTATTTTAGATCTTGGATTACTTTACAGCATCATGAAAAAAAAAATTATGTATTTAAAATTTCATAATCTATTTCTGTTCAATTTTATTTTATTAAAATTTAATAATATTCATTAATATGTACATAGTTAAGCTCTTTAAATAAAATTTATAAATGTCCTTTCTAACTGTAATCATTAGGGTTGAAATCTTAGTATTAATTGACTTGGATGAAACCAACCCCTTTTTAAAGTGTGTATTCAGAGGACAGGTTTTGGAATGTTAATATCTTGTCAAATATATAAATTTTTAAAGAATTTTCTATATACATTTATCAGATTTTCCAGCGGAATGGAACATCTTCGCTATTACTAATTTTTTTACCAGGTTGTTTTTTTAGATTTGCTTCAACAGTTATCGACAAAGAAGCACATTTTAAAATGGTAAAGGATTCATTTACATTAAGTGAACAAATAAAGCGGTGCTGATGAATGTACCAATTGACATTTGACTGTGATGAACTTAAGCAATTCCTCCCTCTTCGTCAAGGCTGACCAAAAAATTAATTACATAAATGTTCATAAAAAAATCAAAATACATTTACTGTTCGCTCATTGAGCTTTCTTTTTAGCATTATGAAAATATTTGTAATTTTTTTGAAATTTATTAAATTATATTTAGGCATAACCATTCAATATTATAACATAATGAACATGCATGTTATTATTAATCAGTTCAGGTTTCAAAGTCATTGCTTCTTTTCCTTTCAACAATTCTTTTTTTTTTAGAGTAAATACCACGCAGTCAAACATTTGTGAATATCATCAAAAAATCAACGTCTGTAGTTCTAGAGCTTCGTAGGAACTAACACAAGGAAGCCCTTAAATTTAGTGGTATATAGACAGATAGTCTTTCTAATTGATTCACGAAGTCCTTATTATCTACTATTACACATACACTACTTGGGCAAAAGTTTTGGAAATTCATATTTTATTAATTATTCAAAAATGTACATAATAAATGGGGCCAAAATTTTAACTACTATTAGTTAAACTATATACAAAACTAATATTTAGTTGGCCAGCCATTATTCTTAATACATGCCTTAACCCTACGTAGCATACTTTCAATTAAATTTATTAATGTATCGTTAGGAATTCGATTCCATTCTTCTTGTAAAGCACGCTCCAATTCCTTCTCATTTTTTGCAGGTTTAGGACGTTTTCTAATGCGCCTTTCCAGCTCTGACTACTAATGTTCTATGGGATTTAAATCCGGGGATTGACTTGGCCAATTTGCCAAAATTTTGATTTTTTTCGTTTCTATCCACTTTTTAACATTTTTAGCGGCATGGACAGGGCATTATCATCTTGAAATAAATAACCACATCCGTTAAAACTATTATTAATCAAGTATTTGAATATAGTCACAATGGTTCATTTTTCCATTAACTTTTACCAGCGGTCCCAAACCTTTTCCTGAAAAACAACCCCACATCATCACACCTCTACCACCATGTTTTACTAAAGGAACCATGTTTTTAATATTAAATCTTGTTCTGGGAGTTCTCCAAATACGACCTGGTCCATCATTTTTGAATATTGTAAAACGGCTTTCATCACTCCAAATTACTGACTTCCATTTTCTAATGGACCAGTCTTTTCTTTGAATACACCAGTTTAAACGATTTTCTCTTTGTTTATCATTAAGAAGAGTTTTGGATGCTGGAATACGTAAAAAAATATTAAGTTCATGCAAATTTCTTCTTATAGTCTTGGTAGAAACTTGAATTCCAGCTTTCTCTTGAAATTTATTTTTTATTTGTTCAGCTGATTGGTGGTTATTAACTTGAACAATTTTTTTTAGTGTTTTTTGATGTTCACAATTTAAAAGTTTAGGACGACCACATCACAGCTGAGTTTTAAGACCTTTTCCTTCACAAAAGGTTTGAATAGTTCGGTAAACTGTTGTTTTTGAAAAGTCAAGTGTTTCAATAATGTGGTTTCTTGTGATGCCACCTTTAAATAGACCAATAATTTGGTTGCGTTCAGCTTCCGTTAAATGTGGCATAGTGAGAAGTAGTACAAAATCCTATTTTGCTGATCACATTTGATTTTGTTTATAAATAAAAATAATAATTATATCATTTTTTATGTAGATCATAAGCTATCACGTGTTAAAATTTCAGCCCAAATTATTATGTACATTTTTGAAAATTAGGCCAAAATATGTTTCCTGAAACTTTTGTCCAAGTAGTGTAAGTTAATAGAACTTTTTCAAATTTCATCCAATATTTATAACAAGAACAGGTCTATGACTGGGTGATTCTTATAAGTATTACATATTATTTTACTTTTATATTTATAATAAAGTGTTAGAAGATAATTCTTATTTGTTAATATCTCAATGAAATTATAAAGAGAATAATAACAAACGTAGTTACAAATAGATGAATTTGCTTCTCCATAATTAAAAATCATTAGCAGGCAGTGATGGCAAATGACCGAGTCATTTGGCCATCTTGAAATGACCTCTGAATGACTTTTGAATGACCTGATCATTTGAGGTCATTTGCCATTTGGTCATTTAAATGTAATACAGGGCAAATTTTATATGCTGGCCAGAATTATAAATTATATCACGTGAAATATTTATGAAAACGTTCGAAACATTAAATTACATTAATTATTTTAGCCAGAATTTTTGAGATCACATGATATAATTTTTAAATGACTAGATCATTTGTCATTTAATATTGAAATGACCCAAATGACACATGACCAGTCATTTGAGTCATTTGAGATCATTTGGCAACTTGCCATCACTGTTAGCAGGTGATTTAAATATTTGTGTTTGAATTACAATTTTATCTTAAAAAAAAATGCATCACTAAGTTTAACTTGACTTGGTGCTTGGTGTCATTAGACTATTCAATAGGTTCAATAAACACTTATAATTCATTTTTGTCACTCATTCATATCAAGGTTTTAAAATTTGTCTTTATTGCTATTATGAATCAATATTGCCAAAGCTTTTAATTCATCAGCCTTAATATCAGAGAAATATTTCCTGCCATCTCATTTTTTCTTTAATTTCCTATAAAGTTTTCAAAAATTATAGCAAATTAATAAATCTCTTCAATATCTTGAAAGAAGTAGCAGTTAAAAGAGATATAATTCATAGATGAAGCAAAAGTTTATTAGATTTTGCTAAGGCATGTTTTGTATAGTTTATTTAATAAAATTAAAATCATGTGATTTATTAAGAAAAATTGCATAAACTATTTTTGTTAAAATTATCTTGTAAAAAAATGTTACAGCAATTGTAAATGTAAATACT